CATCAAACTTCCTAAACGCAACCGCCTCGGAGGTTACCCAAAGATGCAGAAGGGGAAAAAATCCCATCGTCCCCAACATAGCTGACAATATCACGATTGACAATATTAGGCATACTGTTTCGAGGGTGTGCAACATCGCTGAGACCGATATTAGTTGTAGAAGATTGAGGAAAAAATCTTTACGTTTTCGTTGTCCGACTCTGTTCAAGTTTTGTAGCGAAAGTCTCGCAAGTTCTTTTATCAAAAGCCAAAATACTTTAAGATCTGTTCCGAAATTTTGCAAAGTTATTCTATTCGAAGACAGGTCACCTTTGCAACGTGAACTTCAACGCATGAGTGTAACTAATACCTCGCCTGAGCCGAAGCACATCCTCTATGCGCGCCTCCTGGAGTGCCAAGAAGGTCAACAGTGTTTGGTTCTCTCCTTCTAAAAACGCAGATAATGTTAGCAAGACCACTCTCCACACAAGCGATGCTAACGTTGGCGACAGCGTAGCGGAAATTGAGATGCTCACGCCTCCACACCACATCAATCTTGTGGACATAGGAAATAGTGTAGATTCACTAGATGCACCACGTTCTGACAAACCAGTAGGGATTGAGATCAATCCCCACACCGCGATTGAAAACACCCAATGCGACTATCGATAGCTTCAGTGAAGGTGCATTACGGCCCGTTGACATTATGACTACACATAGCAGCAGTAGTCATGGTCCACGTCCTAAGCGTCTTAGATCAAACAGGGGCCTTCATGCTGGTAAGGTGACTTCCCGTGTCCCAATACCAGTCGCGAATACTAATGCTGCTGCACAGAGTGTTAAGCCACACTACCCCATTGTTCCGGCGATGTGCCAAGGCTGTTCTCATGGCAGACTTGTACATGGCTTTGCTGAAACACAGACCATTTATTTATGCCACTATCCATACTCTCTTCCGCCTCCTCCTCTCGCAATGCCTTCTGCGAGCCCTTTGGCAATAACACCCTATCCACTTGAACTCAATCGCCCCAAATTAGCACAGCATTCTTTTTGCATTCCCCCACCCCCTCTAATCCCGATGGGACTGGCAAATCTCACGGTAAGGGATTTGATGCGGAAGATACTAGAACTAATGTGACTGCAAGTGTAAATACTGGGTGGAATAATGAATACCGCCAGGACATTTTAAGACTGATGATACTTAATATTCGTTCTCTGTTGAATACGCTTCACTTACTCCGCACCTTCATATGTCTGAATAAACCTGATATGATTTTATTCACTGAAACCTGGTGTCATGAGGCTATGCCCAGCCAGCTACTTTCTATCGAAGGCTACAAGCTTATTAGAAGTGATGCTAATCAAGGCAGAGGAAGTGGTTGCATAATTTACGACTCACAACACCTCATTTTCTCTGAATTCACACTTTCACTTATATGTCCCACTATTGATTCCGCTTGGTTACTCTTGTCCTTCGGGACTAAGCGAACTCTTGTAGGCTGTATATACCGCTCACTCGGAACCAGTTGCAGTGATGAAAACCAGTTGGTTGACATCTTCAATTACAAATCGGAACTTGGTTCTTTTGATGAAGTGGTAGGTAGAGATTTCAACCTACTAGATACCTGTTGATCAAACAGTAACAAACGCGAAACATGCTGAGTTCATAACCTCCGTCATCACTGGTGGTTGGGAGCAACATGTTCTCGTGGCTACCAGGGGTAAAAATATACTAGACCTACTTTTTACCTCAGGCACCTCCCCGATAGCTACTGATGTAATTGACGGTCTCCCTGGATGTGATCACAAAATAGTCCGATGTAAAATTACAGCTGAGTCGTCGCATGTGAGGTCTGCGGTGGTTCCACGGTTCCTGCAAAATGTTAATTGGGTAGCTTTCTCCGCTCTGCTTAGGGTCCAAAATTGGGACCATTTCTTTATTTCGTCTGACATTAAGGGAGCCTCTGACATCTACGACAATGTGACTAAGAGCTTAAGCATACTTGCCTCCAGTGATAATACGAGAGCCTCTTCTAAGTACGTTAACAACGCAAAGGACAAGCGGAAAATACAAGTGCTAACTCGAACATATGAACGTACTCATGACTTCAGCGTATTACTGAGACTCCAGCGCCTTATAATTGAGACGGACATGAAACACCACACCCGTCTCATGCAGGAAGTACAATGCGCTGTAAATAGTAGTAATACAAATCAACTCTTGACTGCATTATTGGGAAGGAGAGGAGGCAAAACTGACCTACCCTCCCACATCGTCATGCCTGGAGGCGGATGCATTAATTCCCCAATTGCTATGACAGAAGCCTTAACTCATACGTTGCTAAATCCTTTAATCTTGAAAAAGAAACCCTGGGATTGTCAACTTTGTTTAACTTCTGAACAAGTCTCAGCGATCGAGTTTAGTGCCGCCACGACAAAACGTAGGAGTACCTGTATACGACCATCCTACAGACCTGGCCCTGAAGGGATCTCTTCTGCTTTAGTCAAACACGGTGATGATATCCCTCTTAGATTATTAAATATTTTCTCTGTCTCTCCAGTCTGGTCACTATCCCGAACGTTGAAAAACGGCTACGGTTGTACCGAGACATAAGTCTGGGTCGAAAACTGACATCCGGAACTACCGCCCCATTAGTCATACAGCATTCTCTCACGCATGCTAGAGAGAATTGTTAAGGAACATTTGGTTACGTTCCTATTATCGCATAAACTTCTCTCCCCTTCACAATATGGCTTTCTGAAGCCCTGCTCGTGTTACCTGTCAAGTTGACTTCCATAACCATCTAACTGAAGCAATTGACTCAGGTTTTCAACGCATTGTCATCTTCCTAGACATGCAAAAAGCGTTTGACCGAGTCCCACACAAAAAGCTGCTATAAAAATTAAGTAAGTACGGTGTTACAAATCCGCTTCATGCATGGATTCAATCGTACCTAGTAGGACGGTCGCAAGTTATGGATATCAGTGGTTACATCTCTTCACCTCGTCTGGTCACCAATGGAGTGGTACATGGCAGTGTCTTAAGCCCGTTACTCTT